TCATCAACCTGTTTCTCCCTTTTCAAAATGCAAACATTTTAGTTTGTTTCCATTATTGCATCTTGAATAAAACACTATGTTGTTATGTTATGTGACGTTATGTTACTGGTTGCTTGACCTGAACAAAAGAACCACTCACTTAATTAATCCATCAATCAATCAATCAATCAGTGAGCCAATCATATGCAACTTTTTTTTTAAAAAAGATGATGATATCTATGTATGGAAAAGCAACAAAACTAGCCACATAATTATGAACAGTCTGAGGTGATTCAGCTTCAAAATATATTTAATAAGACTGAAGTCGATCTAACTTGTGTTGATTTATCCTGAGCATGAAAGTTTGGATACACTTCAGCCATTCCTCTTATTAACTTAATGGCCAGCATTGTTTGCTTCTGTGAAAGAGGATCCCAAACATGTTCAAAAAGACCTATAGTAAGAAAAAATTCAAAGGTCGGTTAATACTTTAAAAATTGTGCTCAACATCTTTTTTATTGGTTTCTTCACAAGAATAGGAACAATATTATTACCAGTTAGTTTTGGAATGACCGCCTTTTCTAACACCATTGGGATAAGTTTTATGTCAAGATCGTCAGCATCTATATCGTAGGGATCATCTCCACATCCAAACAATACAAGACTTTTGTACCAACGAAAGTCTTCAATCTCTAAACATTTTCCCTAAAGAGAAAGAAAGAAAAAACATTAAATTGCAGCTGCAATGAGCAAAATAATATAACCGATTCCATTAAGGTGGTAATTGATTGTTAAATGCCAATGCTTCCAAAATATTAGCTTAAAAAAATATAATTGTAAACTTGAGAGAAAATAAAACATTGCTCATTCGTTAATGAGTAACAGAGCAAATAACAGCTCAAGGACACTCAAAATTACACCATGAATTTTTTTGGCTGTTTCTAATCATGACCCCTGACTAACTAGTTCAACTGCCCAGTTCGAATGAAATTTCACCACTATTTGCAGGATTTGAATTATTAGCACCAAACAGCACTGCATTATAAAGAATCTGCCATCACTTTTATGCCTTCAAGAGTTGAGCAAATTAAAAATCACAGGAGCAAAGTATTGCTGTCTTGATTGTCTTGCACCACCAACAAGCTCACAAACCATCCTCATGGTGAGCTATTTTAACCTTAAATTTAATCCAAATGCACATCTTGTGTAACCTGTTTCAGTGAAACTTTGGATGTGGCAAGGTGCTCAGCATGTACACCATATGCTTGCCAAGTTCAGTTGCCCTTTTGTTCACAATGTTCAAAACAAAGGTATCAATTGTACCTCAAATGGGTTCCAGTCCAAAAGTTGCAGTCTAATAAATGGAGCAAACAGTTTAGGAAGACAAAGTGAAATGTATGCATTCTTATAACAGTCTTCGTGTTTGTTCTTCCATTCTTCAAATCTTGATTTTAAGGAGTCAATGGAACTAAAATCCTCAACAACATCCTCAAAAATAGCTTTCTCCTCTGATAAAATCCTCTCTAAAGAAAAAGCAAAACAGAGGAAAAAAATAGATTGCAAGTCATTATTCACTAAGTTGTAAAAATTTTTTGCAACAATCGAATTTATCACTTTCTCCAGAAATCAACTTTCAAAACTAAACACAACAAAATTCACATAGTGCTGTTAAATTGTGACATTGTGTACTTAGAATATTGCAATGGAAACATAATAAAAAAATGAAAACCCAACATCTGGCCATTTCATGCAGACAGCCTGTTTAACAGTGATGCCAACAGCAGCACATCAGCCCTGCGGGCATCCTAACATTGTGATTGATATTCAATGTCTTCAAGAATTCCCACCAAACTCACATGGTTAACACTTCAATACACCATTCTTAGACCTGTCTAATTAAACAATTCCAAAAAAAAGATCTTACTTGTTTCTGCCCTAAACTTGACAGCATCTGCTTCAATTTCTTCATCATCTGTTGATTGTCCTTCATGGTGAGTGTCTGGTACAGAAGATTTGCCCTTCTCCTTTTCTCTGTGTTTTCTCCTCCGTGCTCTTCTTCCCTCTCGTTCAGCAGCACGTCTTAACTTCGCCTGATCTGCTGCTTTAGCTGAGTTTTGGCGTCCTACATGGAGGAGACAGAATTTTTACTTAAGCAGGGAAACTAAAAAGCAAGACACTTTATATGCTGTACAATACTCCCACCAGTGACCAAGATAGAATTTCTCCTTACTGTCTAATACAACATCAAACAGACAAGTGATGAGAATCAAGAAAAATATCAATGAGGGGATTACTGGTAATATAATATAATAATATAATATAGTTTATATCTGACCACTTGCAGCCCAGAGGCTGAATTACAGGTGCAGTTTTTTAAGGTTGAGAACAGACGTCAGCATATCAGGCACCTCTGGCAGCCGCTTCAGTCCATCGACCTCACCTTCCCACCCATCCCACCCCAGGGGAGGACATCCATCAAACAGTAATCTCATGCATGGGAAATTAACGTCTCCTACCCCAACCCTGCAGGAGACAGGACCTCCATTTATTGTCCTTATCTGAGAAGACTAGAATATCTAACCATTTCTTGATGTTACAGAAAGGTAGCAAATTCTTCTTAATTATTTTAAGACCTTGAGTGTTGGTCCAGCCAGGGCTCGAACCCTTGACCTCCCGCACAACAGTCCAGTGCACTATCCATTGGGCTAACTGGGCAGTGGTTAAAATACTACATTCTCCACACAAACATCATAAGAATTGTAAAGCAGACAATAAGAAGAATTATGAATGAGATCTTGGGAATGAAAAGGTTAACCCTTACACCCCAACATCATCTGTATTCTTCATAATGTCCTCCATAATTTTCTTAAGGTGCTGAAAAGGAGAATTTAGTTGTTGATCATTTCCTTTATTCTCATGACCTCAATGTGTGATTCAGAGGTGATATTGTTAGGAGAAATTAGATGCTGGCCAGTCTTAGGGATCCAATGGTTATAGGATGCTTCATGGAAATACCATATTTTCTTAAACTAAGCTTTCGTTTTGTGCCTTATACATGTGCTTCCACCACAACTTCTAGTGTGATCAGAGACATTCCCAAACTCTGGTTGATGAACAATTGATATGTCATACTTTGCTATGCACAACGTAAGGTGAAATTCCAAGCTACAAAACTATCATTCAGATTAGAAAATTACCAGCTTGGGCATTTAGAAAATCCTCTGCTTGATCATTGACATCTGTTCGCCTCCTCTGGACCACTAAGCTTGCTCGATTCTTCAACAAAGCATGCATAGACCTTTCTAGCTCATCAATTGCAGGTACCTGTTAAAAGAAACAAAGAAATAGCATTATTAACAGTCAAGCAGTACCATTAATGATGAGATGCATCTTGTTTGCTGCATTACACTCTGCAAAATTTAGTGCTTTAAAAAATTCATCTCTGTCAAACAAACTCATCCAACAAGAAATTTGCGACTTTACCATTCATCCTATCACGTTCTTCAGGAAGTTTACATATACCAGGCAAGCTGTAGTAAGTATGTCTTCAGATAAGGCAAAGTTTGGTTTAGCCACTTTCCAGTAACCAACTAATACTTACAGCTTTGGTTATATCATGCTTGTATCACCCACCTTGTTATTAAGGCATTCTATCAAGTCCCTAACATATCCCCTCATCTCTTGGAAAAAACTAAATCTCTGCTCTGCATTTCTTCCCTGTCGCTCCAACTTCTTGATGTTACACTGGGCAGTTTCCAGCTGAGATGAAGCTTTTTCGCAGTCCATTATATGTTGACGATGTACCTCTTGAAGAGTTGCCAACTGCTGTTTCATCTTGTCACAGATCATATCTACAGTAACAGCATGACGACTTTGCAGTGAACTGGTTGTCAATGCAGGTCCATAAGTTTGATTTCCATTAGTGTGTATATCATTATATCCTGTTCCATAAGTGTAGGGCTGCTGTATAGTTTGATAACCTAAAGAGTTCTCTTCAGTGAATTGTTGTTGATACAATGAGCTTGTTGCCTCAGTGGTTTGTAGTAATTCTGGTTGAGCCATAGGCACTGATACACCTTTGACACCTTTGCGAATTTGCTCATCTTCCCAGAGTTTTAACTCTTCATCATCTTCAGCCTCTTCGTTGTCAGAATTCTCTTCAAGTTCTTGATTAGCGAGAGCAGCCTCAACCTCACGACGACGATCCAATGCAGGAAATCCTCGCTTCTTTGTAACAGAGAATGTGATTGGCCCCTCTTCCCCCTCATCATCACTGACATCATTCTCATCTTCTCTCACCAGCCGGCCTGTGGATGCAAAATTTCCCTCGTATTTCTGTGTGTCATCCAAAGGGATAAAGTCTTGCTCAGTTTGTCTCGCCATTTCTCGCCGTTTGCGTGCTGCATGAATCGTTGCAGCATCGGGTATGCTAAAATCAGTTTTACTTCTTGAATTTATAGCTGGCTCCTTCTTGATAGGTCCTGATGCTACAGAATCTGTGTCATCTTCCACTTCTTCTCCGTCATCCTCGCCTGCAATTTGACACAGCTCAGCTCTCAGTGCAGCCAATCTTTCGTCGGTATCATCTTCTCTCTGAGCAGTATTTAAGTCATTTTTCTTCACAACTCTCCCTTTATCAAATTCTTCTTTCTTTTTCCTTTCTTGTTCCAGCTTCTTCGCCAGCCGACGGCTTTCTTTTGACTTGCGAATCTTGAAAACTTCACCCCCGTCTCCACCGTCATCCTCGAAGCTAAGCAAGGAATTAGATGACGCGGTCTTGATCTTTGATTCTTCCTTCCGTTTTGGTTTAGAATTTCTGTCTATGGGTTTTGAAATCACAGGAATATTTTTTAATTCCTGATCATCAACAGTTTCGTCGTCTTCGTGGTCGATTTTTTTCCGAAAATTTCGTTTGGAGTGTTTCTTGAACATGGTGGCCATGATTATGACAAGCGCGAAAAGTGCTACGGGACACTATCCCCAGTGTCGCTCTTTCAACTAAGTTTGCCTGATTGCCTGACTGTTTTCATCTTCTTATTGGCCATCAAAACTCCGTACTTTCCTATCAAAATGTCGTACTTTTATGGAAGTGGCGGAGGACAAAGGCAACCAAAATGGAATTACCAAACAAATCTAGATCCAAATTTATTAGCAACAGTTCGAGATGAAATGCTTCGGAAAGAGGAAGAATACCGCAAAGAACAACAGCGGATTGAGGCGGAACAAAAGAAACTAACGAGTTATCTAACCCAACTTCAAGCCATGGTTCGCGATCTTCCTGGGTAGAAATTCACTATTTTTTGTCGTTGTTTGTAAAATATTGCGCTTTATTAATATACGTTTACAATGACTTCTTTCCCCCATGTGTTTTCCGATTAAAAAAAAAACGTCTTTTTCATAAAACATTGCAAGAGAATACTCGGCAAGAAAAGCTTGTTAAAGAAAAATATCCCTGAAGCCTTCTGTTGTCTCCAGGAACTATTTTGTGTAAATTTAGCTTACTCTAATGATTTTATCTTTTCCTTTAAAGAGCAATGTCCTTTAATCGGCTTGGAAATGAATCGAATTTTTACTCGTGCACATGTTAGTTACCAATTGTATTTTATCCAATTTTTGTAAATTTTTAAAGCGTCAGCATTAAAGGGGTACAATAATACGAGAGAATTTTGAATACCCCTTTATAAAAAAAATATGAAAAAGTAACCTATTTTTGCCTTTCATTTTAGTACATACAAAAAGAAATTCACTTATGATGTGCTGTCAGGAATCGCAACTTGTCTTATTGATGGAACAGTATTTGAGATTGTAAAGGGACTGGAAGACATACAACAACTTACCGAAAGAAACTTACTCAACAAAAGGATGAAAATAGTCAATTCACAGAAAGGTAGATCAAACAGTAAATTTTGGATCATAGAATTGGTTTAAATTTTAGATTTAGATTAGTAATTTTGATTTTGTGCATTTGTTGGTGGGAAGTGTCAGTAGTGTTGTGCATGTATGCACCAGATAACAATTATTTTCACTGGTGTACCAAAAACCAGTAGAGTAAACACATACAAAATAAAAAGCCTAATTTTAGAGATTTTAAATTTAATATTACTTCAGTTTCAGCTGTCTGCCATAAAAATGATGACTTTCTCTACTTTTGATTAAGATGTTAGTGTTAGCCTTTTACTTATTTAGCTAGTCTTGTTCTTATTTAAATAATGTATAAACTAAATACATGACCCCTCAAGCTGTTAGCTTTGATTATTATTGTGTTTAAATAAAGCTCTTATCTTAGTATACAATACTCAAGTGACTTTAGCCTAATCAGTTACTAGTACTTATGCTGGATTGCTCAGCCTTCATCTGTCTGTAGGAGTGAGAAAGGTTATTTACACAGCATTTAACTATGTAACCACTTGTTCTGCAGAGCCACCCTCAATGGTAATAGAGTGTCATAAATCTTTGGATGGTTAACATCAAACTTTCATGGAAACTTGACTTAGTGGGAGGGGGAGGCTAGGGGTACCCATCTGCGATGGATGTTGAACTCACTTAAGAGGGGAGAGCTTCATGTTACAGAAACTGGAATAGACTCAAGGGACTTTTCTCATTAAGATGATCAATGCAAAAGGTCATGACAAAACCACAAACAGATTTACAGTTTTGAAGCATAGAAATATGATGTTGATAAAATGTCACAGTTTTTATTGGTTTGTGTTTGTGATTAACTTTGATTCTCAGCGCAGAGAATGCAGATGGCCAAGAAACATAAAGATGCCATTCAGCAATGTGAACAACGGCCTCATAATCTACCTCTTGTGGAGGCATCAAATACACAGGAAAAGAAAGTAGGCTTTGAGATGTTTATCACAGATGATGTTACATTTAATTTTTTAACCCAATACCCAACCTGTGATCAAGTCCTCTATCATTACTCCCATTTAAAAGGGGGTTCAAATACCCAATAAGACCTTTTTCAGTCCCACCCTTGTACCTTGATTTCATGAATACTTGGTTGAATGCTGAATGTGTTCTGTGCAGCATCACTGTGCCTCTTAGTAAAGTGTAACTCAAAGTTCTAGGTCTAACCTTGCAATTCAGTTCCCTGCTACTATCAATTAGTTTTGTAATTTCATCTCTAAAACAGAAGCAAATAAAATAGTGCAAAATCCACCATTCACATTTACCATGATATTAGATTCCTGAAACTCTCCTATATATAACATATTTTTGTAATGGTCTGCAGCATGACTTACAGCAAACCAGAATGCACTTTTGATGATGCATGCATTTAAACTCCCTAATCTGCATGTTGCTGAAAAGAGTGCTAAAACTTTCTAGGCTTTGGAAGAAAAGTTGGAGGCAGAAGTGCTTCAAGTGGATCAGAAAGTAGTCCTTGAGTTGGACCAGATTGTTAGTGACCAACAAGCAACACTCCAAGTAAGCTATAGTTTGTGCTTTAAATGTTTTTTTTTTATCTGCTAGAAAATGTTTTATTTCATTTCAGAGCAATGCCATGCTATGTGGATGTTCTAGATTCAATCAAGGACAAGTGGCTGTCCCAAACGAAAAACTCTCAGAATCACAATTTATTATTCTTAGTACTGCCTTCCATAAATCACTTATAATAATTATAATAATAATAATAATTAAAATTTTTTACCTTAAAATAATATTTATTTAGCAATAATTTCCATAAAATCCTCTACAATACAAAATATTAACAGCATAAAAAACGATCCAAATTAACTCACTTTCAGCTCACATCTCCTTCTTTTTTTTCATGTCAAAGCGTCTGGAAAACTATAAATAACAGAGTCAAATCTGAACAGATTCAAAGTCTAATAATCTGATAAGTAAAAGCAGATCTAAAACTATACAGAAAAGAGAAAGGTGAATGGCAAATCTAGAACCCTATATACAAGGTTGCTAAAAATCATTAAACAATGTCAATGGCACCCTCAGCAGCTGCGATTTCAATGTCACAATTATTATAATCATTTGCAGCGCGGTGCTTCACCTGCAATCCTCAAAGGCAAACTAAGGCCGACCGAAGGAGGGCAAAGGATGTCTTTGCTCGGATCCAGGAAATTGTTTGCAAGTATCGTTCCCCTTTCCTGGTGGCTATCAGCTCGGCCAATCGGCTGTGGTATCTTATGCATTCCATCCACATCCCTCCCGTAGTTGTAAATACAAGCGGCGTGAACGAGCCATGCTCAACATCCAACACTCTCCTTGAGTACAGCCGCTTCTTGTTGTTTTCATGGATGCGATAAATCTGCTGTGGTTCCTTGTCCTTGTATGACTCGGCATTAGGGTGGCAAACCTTCATATCAAAGTAATAATAATAATAATAATTAAAAGATAATATATTTTATTCACTCTAATAAAAAATATTTACAAATTAGGATAAAATTCTTAAAAATCGAAAAATACATGAAAATGTTGACAGAAGATCTAAAAAAAACTAACTGGTGCATGTTATGTTTACCCTTTGAACTTTAAGGACAGAGAGAAAAAAAAAGAAGTTAATAATAGTACTAAAAGTGAGGAATATTAAAATATTTGATAGCAATAATAACAGCAATCATATTATTAAGATCCTAACAAATGGCAGCCTCTGAACTTTGAATATCGAGGTCTACATTAGTAGACCTAGATATAATAATAATAATAATGATAATAATAATAGTAATAATAATTTTTTTTCAATTTTTTTGGGGGGTAAATAATAGTAATAATACTAATACAGTGGAATCCCTATTTCTTGAACCTCCAGGGGAAATGCAAATTGGTTCAAGAAATCGGGGGTGAAATTACAAGTGTAGCAAATCCAAGGGAAACAAGGTTTGGTTCGAGATATCGGGAGGTTTGAGAAACCAAGGGTTCGAGAAATCAGGATTCCACTGTAATAATAATAATAGTAATAATAATAATAATAACTTTATTTAAGGAGGGTTACATGTGACAGTAATTCAACTGATGAACTAGTTGCCCTCGATCAAACAAATAATTCAAATTGAACATAACTTTAGTAAGAATTCCAACTGGCCAGAGGTAAACAGTTGGCTATTTACAAGCATGGCTGAGGATTTGAAATCAGAGCCACCATGAAACAAATCAAGGTAGTGGTCAGGGCGGGACTCCAACCCATGAGTGGTGGATTGGGAGTCCGACATGCTGACCACTCGGCCACACTGCCTCCTCTTGTACTATTAGTCTTGAGTATTTGTCCTTAATCTGACATGTACTTTGTGCTCAGCAATTGTTTGCTCAGGAGGGCATTGACATTACAAATTAGTCACTCGAGGGTGAAGTTTTTTGCTGATTAGAAGAATGGAACCTATCAACTGCTTCAAGTCAGGAGAAACATTGAAATAGGTTAACTTTTGTTTATTTCAACAGAGAGCTGGTGTACCAATGTTTTCTATAACAAACCACCCTGACGAAGTTCGCCTTCAGATGTACATTTTGGATTTTATTCAGCGAATGGAACACTCTCAAAGTTAGTGGCAACATTTCTAGGAAGGACTTTACTTTGGAACATATGGAATGTTTCCTTGGGATGACTTCATGTACATACATACTAGTTGGGTTCAAGTTCTTCAAGATGTAGTTCAGCTTCCTTTTTGCATCAGATACATAAAAAGATGTTGAATTTTTCAAAGAATAAATGTTACCTACCCACACAGTATTCACTTCATCTTGCCTCCTTGAAGTGCCACCACAGAATTATCATAAAGTTTAGAGTGAAAATCTACTCACAATGCAATCCTTGGAATGATCTGAACATTGCTGTTCAGTGAACTGAACTTGAAAGGTGATTTTCTCTGTGAATCTTTCTTGAGATTAAAAAAAAGAATAAATTAAGCCTTCCTTCCCAAACCTTCTTCTGATGGGAAAAACTTTATTCATACCAAAATATGCAAAAACTTACAGATTTTCCCAAAAAAGGCGGACTAACTAAGAAAAATTTCACACCAAATTAATAAACAACTCTGGTTGCATTTACTGGGTAGAATTTATTTATTTATTTATTTCATTTATTTATTTATTTATTTTATTTATTTATTTAATCGCTTTCACCATACTTACAATACTAAAAGGACTAGAATATACATATGAACAAGACACAGAAGAGAACGGAGGACAAGGGTGCGGGACACACAACAGAGCGAGGCTCCAAATTAAGTGTGCCCTTACAGAAATACACAAATACTAACTATGTAAACAATAGACGGTGTAAAAAGTATATAAAAAAGTATATAAAATAATAAAAACGAAAACGATTGGAATAAATCCCTTATGCGGCCGATAGAAAGTCCTAATAGCAGCAGTTACCGACTAATAGAAGATCACGTGACCTACTGCATTTGCAGCCGATCGACTTTCAGGTGTTGAAGTTAGTGACGTCATAGTTTGTACGAAAAGCAGCGGAATAGCGTTGGAGTACGTGAGAATTAAACTGATTGAGAGAACTAATAATACGAGTGGATACAGGTAAGGTATTCCAGAGTTTAGCGACACGATTAAAGTAACTAAATTGAAAAAGCTTTGTACGGCACTTAGGAATTAGTAGGTCTTAATCAGAGCTATGACGAGTAAGAAGGGTGCCTTTGGGCCTGACATAATCAGCTATGGGTAAGGTGAAGTGGCGAGCGCAACACTTGAAATAGAAAATTAAGTCTTTCACTTCGTGCCAGTATGTTAACGGTAGCAGGTTGAGGCGAGAAAGGCGCTCATGGTAAGAAATATCCTCTTTTCAGTGCGTGTTTAAGATGAATTTTGTTGCCCTGCGTTGAAGACTTTATATTTTTTTTCATGCCACCGATCGAACTGGGAGCCCATATCTCGCTAGCATAGCCAATATGTGATCTTACAAACGTGAGATATAGTAATTTCCTATGATCTGTAGTGAATGACGAAAGACTGTTGCGTCGCAAGAATGCAAGCATCCTATTGGCCTCGGCTAATATTGTGTTGATGTGAGTGTCCCATGTGAGCTCCGAAGAGATAGACACTCCGAGGTCTTTTACTTGAGTGACGTGATTAAGTGAGATGTTGTTCAACTTATAATCGTAGCGAAGTGGGTAGCGCTTACGTGTGACGGTTAGTACCTCACATTTAGAGGTGTTAAACTTTAGGTGCCAATTATCACTCCAGCCCTGCAGTGAC